AAGACCAAATTGGCTAAACGGTTATATGCATGGATCTGCTAGATTAATATCATAGTTCAAAAAATTTGAAACTATTCAAGAATAAGGAAGAGAGGGAGATTTCTGCCCAGACCAGTAATTAAAAACAAAATATTAACAAAATCCTATATGCTTTAATAAGGCACAATGTTTTACTTGTATATTTAAGGAAGTGAAATACAATGGCAGATCTCAAGTCATACTGCAAACAGCGTCAACTCCTCTTGGGAGTTATCAGTAGGGACTTTCACAAAAATTGTTGAGGTAACAGCAATAAGAAGCCACAGTAAGGTTCTTTTTTCCACAAGTGAAACTGTTCTCTTCCTTAATTGTAGTTTGTCTCTGTTTTATGCTATAAAATCTGAAGTTTTAAATTGGGGAAAAAGGAATGAGTAAATATCTAGTTAAGAACCAACCTTATGTCCTGAATAAACCATATTTTGCATCAAAGTTTTGCATTGTTTTTTCCCTTGTCATGTTTCAACCAAAATCAAGGGAGTCAGGGAAATATATAAAACTTGTTGTAATTATGATTTCCATCATTTGAAACATCATGATACAAACTTGATGCTGCTCTGAATTTGCTCTCTTCAAAGACTTTCTAATCAAATCTGCTCCATTTTGCAGTTCAGCATTTTCTTCCAAATTGCTAGAAACACAAATCAGCACATTATCTCAAAATCAGGCAGGATTCTTCATATGCCATCTCCAACTATGAAAATCCAGGGTTCCAAGCTTAGATATAATCTTGTCTGATCCTTTCTGAAGCATGATATGCCATCTTCATTACTTTGACAGTGATGAATGCAGCAAATCTCTCCACTTGTTTTTAAGCAAACAGTCATATGGCATACATGAAGTGCAATGCAAATCCTGAAATATCATTTTATATAAAATTCTAGTTTTACCTATTCTTCACAGATTTTTCTATAATAGAAAATATGGTAAGAGCCCATATTTGACAACTAATGTCCAGATACATGGTCCCTGTTTAATACTGATATCTGCAGCTTTGGAGAATAGTGTCGCCAATAATCTGACAAGAGCTACCTTCAATCTTTCATTTCCTAAAACAGCTTGGTGTTACAACTTCTATCCTAAAATCTTTACTCTAAGACAGTACTTTGCTAGCTATGGCTAGAATTTCATTTTGTTCATCTTTTAAAAAGTGAAATGACCTAATTTGCACTTTTCAAATGAATATGTCAACTGCAACATTGCCATCCTTCAGATTTTTGCAATGCAGTTCTTGCACAGGCATGCATATAAAAACAGCTATACTGTGGAAAGCTACCTACAAAAATGAGTATACTGTAGACATCACATATGAAAATGAATAAGTTAGGGAAAGATGCTTACAAAAGCCTTATACAACTTCGGTCAGGATTATCAGAAAAATTATATATCTCAGTAAAAACTTGCCAAAGCTTTGAGATTATCAGGGGAAGTTTTCTCTTGGTCCCACCACCACTGTAGGCAAGAAGCATCCTCTATGTGACTGTTCCCAACATCTGGAATTTCTTCCATTGGGAAACTATGACAGCCCTTTGCTTTCCTTTTGTTGTCAAGTGAAGACATTCCTGTTTAAGTAGATGTTTAACATGTAAGCAGGAAAGCTTCCTATGAATATATATTATTCTTTTCAAACTTGTGTTCATTTTAAAAATATGTTCATATTGTTTTATGTAGTTAGTTTTTTGAATTTTTAAAAATGTTTTGGAGGCAGCCTTGAATCCTAATTTGGGACCAAAGCATCATACAATGTATATATATATATATATATATGGCATAATAATGCATGTTGCACATCATTATGTATATGCAAAAGATGTATGAAAACAAATGTAAACTTTTACACATTTTTAAAATGCCATCAGCTGATTTGGATCTGAAGAAGAATAGGCTTATAACTGATTGCATGTGAATATGGAGAATATATACATTGATTACCTCATCCCTAGCCAGGTATAGTTCATGCATGTTTTCATATATACATGAGCAGAATACTTCTGCTTGTTCTGCACTGCCTGTCATGTCCTCTTGCTGGAGCAGCAGTTCCAGTACCATGGAAAGCTCCAAGTGAGCTTCTGTGAAGTATCACATGGTTCCTTTTATGGTATGGAAATTTGACATACAAATTCTGAAGATGCCAGTCTAGTCTTATTGCTTTTGGATTTCTAAACTGGTCAGGTTCCGATACAGTCAGATATCCAACAAGTCTGGATAGATCTGGCTCATCTCTCCGCATTCCAATGGAGACAACGCTCAACAGTGGAATACAATACTTATACATAAATTCACACAGAGACACTCAATTTCTGCAATTAGTTTCAAATTCTAGAGGAATATCTAAGCATTTCCCAAGATGTCATCTGTGTGTTCAGGACACAAAAACTGATCTGTGTAAAGCCTGGTAAATATATCCATCAAACAAAATTTGTCCAAAACTGATTCTCATTGACGGTGTCAATTGAAGTATTTTCAGAATATCATTACAGATGAAATGAGTTCACATCTGGAAAAAAAAGGTTAATTGTATGAAGGCAATCAATTCCCAGGATCAAGTAGATTATAATTTTGGCAAATTTTTCTTAATAAAATATTGGAAGTGGAATCCAGAAAGGAAATAATTTTATACCTTTCTCTTCAATAATTCATATTATCTTGCAGTAGAGATCCAGTATTAGGATATTGATCATCACAACATGAAAAAAGCAAGTTTTCTCAAATATAACAGTTTGAGGGCAATGAATTAGGGGAAAGCTTTATTTTGAATACATGCACGTATTTTTTTTTTCAATATGATGAAAGTAAGTTGATTTTGGAATTCTTAGGATGTTTTACATATTTTATTTGTAACGTTTACTACCCTCAAGGTTTCCTTTTGCTATGCTTAAACAAAAGAAAAGAAAGGAGAAAAAGAATGAAAGACTGGCCTTAGAGCAATGATGAAGAGAATATGCCCTAAAAGCAAAACAGCATCAGATGGATTTTACAGTGAATCTGAGAATATTTGCCTTAGGAAAATATTTGTGTTGTTATTCCCTAACCTGTTTAAAATTCCAGCTGTAACTGTAGTATTGTCAATAAGAAAACATGCCTTAGAACTCTGTAAACCAAGATGTTTCTGTAATCCAGGATTTGTTCTCTGAAAGAGGAACCCTTACATGCCTCTATGGATTGTAGAGCTACTTTGGATGTGGTTGCCATGGGTGTGTGGCTACTAATCAGAATGTTTATAGCTATGCAAGAAGCATGAAGGACAGGCTTAATTCTATGCATCGGAAATGGAGACTGAACACCCCAATTATAGCAATGATAGACTAATGTGCATATCTACATTTACTTCATGTTCACATGTAAAATATTATTTCCATTCATTGATATTTCTTTTTAGATTGATACCTGAGTTTATAATCATTTCAGTGGCCCATACAGTCAACATTTATAGTAATAATGCATTGCTTAATAACACTCATGGGCTTTCTACAGAATCACTGTCCATGTCACCTCTGGGGAAAAAATACAATTTTCTTGCTTTATTTTTCTTTTCTGTAAGATATCTGGAGTTCCAGATTAACAACAAAGTTGCTTTCTCTGGAACAGGAATGGAAGAGAATCAATCAGTGATCTATACTTAAGGTGTTCATAATTATCGTTAGTCCTCATAAGTTGTATCAAGTTTGTAAAATCTATACTTATGAGGCAATATTCGACGCATGGGCATGACCCGCACCAAAAACTTAGGAATGGAAACTAACCCAATACTTTTTTCATTTGCATTTTCTAAATCTTGGAAGCCTCTAAAGTCAGTTTTATTTTCAGTGCAAGCAAGCAAAGCAAAGCCAAAAAGGCAGCCTTTCCTCTTTAGATTAATGGCCTCTTGCCATTAGAAGAGGTAAAGCAGGGATAAAGCAGAATTCTCTGGGAAAGAAGGCACAAAACTCTGGGAAATATAAGTTTGGGAAGGCGAGGAGCCCTATGGCAGAGAATGCAAAAGGCCCTGCCCAAACTACATTTCCCAGAATTCTCTAGCATCAGAAAGCCTCAATCAGGATAGGGGAGAGATTTTTCTTTTCTAGCAGCAGTCCAGCCAGAGTTCCAATAAATTGTTGAATCTGCAAAGAAGAGGACTGACTGATACTTCAATAAAGGGTAAAGGTTTTCCCTTGACATTAAGTCTAGTCATGTCTGACTCTGGGCGATGGCGCTCATCTCCATTCTTAAGCCAAAGAGCGGGCATTGTCTGTAGATGCCTCCAAGGTAATGTGGCTGGCATGACTGCATGGAATACTGTTATCTTCCCACCGGAGAGGTACCCATTGATCTACTCACATTTGCATGTTTTTGAACTGCTAGGTTGGCAGAAGCTGGAGCTAACAGTAGGTGATTCGAACCACTGACCTTTTTGTCAGCAAGTTCAGCAGCTCAGCAGTTTAACCCACTTTGCCACCGGGGACTTCAATACAAGTAAGTAAATATTCAGTACAAGTAAATAAATCTGTGCTGGACCAGGAAGAAATCCTTAAATTTATTGCCCCAAGGGGAGTCCCTTCCAACCCAATAGGAGAAGCATATTAATTAGTTTAGAAGCTGGATGGTCATCTGTCATGAGAGTTTTGATGGTGCACTTCTTCCTGGAAGAAGGGAGCTGGACTAGATCATCCTTGGGGGTCCCCTTCAACTCTAGGATTCTTTGAAAATGTAGAATTGGTTAATATTGGTTTCTATTGGTTAAAATATGAGAGACATTCAATGAAATAGCTGTTGTGGCTTTTTTAAAAAAAATGACAAAATTTTAAAAACTAAAATAAGTAGATGTATGAATATTTCTGAAAGTTGGGAGGAATCATCCCCTTTTATCTTGTATTATTGTATAGAAAATTTAAGAAGATAGCTCTTGTAGTTTTTTTTTAAAAAAATTGTTTCTAAAAGTCTTGAAAATTCTCCAAAAATCCATGGATAAGTGAAACATTGATGGGCTAACAGTAGTAAATGTGTTCCACCATTGCAGCAAGCTTTGCCCCATAGCTGTAAGAACAAGGGAGAAAGGAGTACCTGAAGTTTCCTCAGTTATAGTAACTATGCACAATTACTATAACGACAAATCAACAAAATGTCATTACTCTCACTGTAGTAATGGAATTTTCACTAGCTATCCTTTAGTAACACTTTAGAAATGAAATGCCAACATCCCCTAATTTTGTAATGGCCTTTGAAACTTTTTTTCATCGATCGCACATGCCTATATTGTAATTTGCACTTCCAAATAAGCAATGCATGGAAGTGGAAGAAGACAACCGAATAGGAAGGACAAGAGACCTCTTCCAGAAAATTAAAAACATTGGAGGTAAATTTCAGGCAAAAATTGGTAGGGGGGGGGGGGGGGGGGGGGGGGGGGGGGGGGGGGGGGGGGGGGGGGGGGGGGGGGGGGGGGGGGGGGGGGGGGGGGGGGGGGGGGGGGGGGAGGGGGGGGGGGGGGGGGGGGGGGGGGGGGGGGGGGGGGGGGGGGGGGGGGGGGGGGGGAGGGGGGGGGGGGGGGGGGGGGGGGGGGGGGGGGGGGGGGGGGGGGGGGGGGGGGGGGGGGGGGGGGGGGGGGGGGGGGGGGGGGGGGGGGGGGGGGGGGGGGGGGGGGGGGGGGGGGGGGGGGGGGGGGGGGGGCGGGGGGGGGGGGGGAGGGGGGGGGGGGGGGGGGGGGGGGGGGGGGGGGGGGGGGGGGGGGGGGGGGGGGGGGGCGGGGGGGGGGGGGGGGGGGGGGGGGGGGGGGGGGGGGGGGGGGGGGGGGGGGGGGGGGGGGGGGGGGGGGGGGGGGGGGGAGGGGGGGGGGGGGGGGGGGGGGGGGGGGGGGGGGGGGGGGGGGGGGGGGGGGGGGGGGAGGGGGGGGGGGGGGGGGGGGGGGGGGGGGGGAGGGGGGGGGGGGGGGGGGGGGGGGGGGGGGGGGGGGGGGGGGGGGGGGGGGGGGGGGGAGGGGGGGGGGGGGGGGAGGGGGGGGGGGGGGGGGGGGGGGGGGGGGGGGGGGGGGGGGGGGGGGGGGGGGGGGGGGGGGGGGGGGGGGGGGGGGGGGGGGGGGGCGGGGGGGGGGGGGGGGGGGGGGGGGGGGGGGGGGGGGGGGGGGGGGGGGGGGGGGGGGAGGGGGGGGGGGGGGGGGGGGGGGGGGGGGGGGGGGGGGGGGGGGGGGGGGGGGGGGGGGGGGAGGGGGGGGGGGGGGGGGGGGGGGGGGGGGGGGGGGGGGGGGGGGGGGGGGGGGGGGGGGGGGGGGGGGGGGGGGGGGGGCGGGGGGGGGGGGGGGGGGGGGGGGGGGGGGGGGGGGGGGGGGGGGGGGGGGGGGGGGGGGGGGGGGGGGGGGGGGGGGGGGGGAGGGGGGGGGGGGGGGGGGGGGGGGGGGGGGGGGGGGGGGGGGGGGGGGGGGGGGGGGGGGGGGGGGGGGGGGGGGGGGGGGAGGGGGGGGGGGGGGGGGGGGGGGGGGGGGGGGGGGGGGGGGGGGGGGGGGGGGGGGGGCGGGGGGGGGGGGGGGGGGGGGGGGGGGGGGGGGGGGGGGGGGGGGGGGGGGGGGGGAGGGGGGGGGGGGGGGGGGGGGGGGGGGGGGGGGGGGGGGGGGGGGGGGGGGGGGGGGGGGGGGGGGGGGGGGGCGGGGGGGGGGGGGGGGGGGGGGGGGGGGGGGGGGGGGGGGGGGGGGGGGGGGGGGGGGGGGGGGGGGGGGGGGGGGGGGGGGGGGGGGGGGGGGGGGGGGGGGGGGGGGGGGGGGGTGGGGGGGGGGGGGGGGGGGGGGGGGAGGGGGGGGGGGGGGGGGGGGGGGGGGGGGGGGGGGGGGGGGGGGGGGGGGGGGGGGGGAGGGGGGGGGGGGGGGGGGGGGGGGGGGGGGGGGGGGGGGGGGGGGGGGGGGGGGGGGGGGGGGGGGGGAGGGGGGGGGGGGGGGGGGGGGGGGGGGGGGGGGGGGGGGGGGGGGAGGGGGGGGGGGGGGGGGGGGGGGGGGGGGGGGGGGGGGGGGGGGGGGGGGGGGGGGGGGGGGGGGGGGGGGGGGGGGGGGGGGGGGGGGGGGGGGGGGGGGGGGGGGGGGGGGGGGGGGGGGGGGTGGGGTGGGGGGGGGGGGGGGCGGGGGGGGGGGGGGGGGGGGGGGGGGGGGGGGGGGGGGGGGGGGGGGGGGGGGGGGGGGGGGGAGGGGGGGGGGGGGGGGGGGG